TTCCTGGCTCTGCGCTCAGGGATCACTCCTGGTAGTGCTGGTGAGCCTATGTGGTACTGGGGATATTGACCCAGGATCCTCTGTGTGCCAGGCAAGCGCTATAACCTCTGTGCCCTCCCTAGTCCAATGTTTATATGGCAGGGACCAGGGAGACAGCTGAAAGGCTGGCACACACACTTCACACCCAGGAGTCCTGGTAAACCAGGGACGAGAGTAAAGCAAGTAGGACCCTTTCCTTGCAAGCAGCAGACCCAGGTTCAATCTCCAGCACCCCATATAGTTCCCCAACACATACCAGGAGTGAAACCTGAACACAGTGCCTCAAGTAAGCCCTGAGCACCACCAGGTGCAGCCCCAAACCAAAACCCAAACAAACAAATGGAAAACCCCAAGTCTTGGGTTCCCCCAAACCATCTAGTGTCCTCACATTGAGCCCAGAGTCGCATCACTGGCAGCACGGCCAGGAAAAGCCAAAGCCCAAAAAGTATATTTTAAGGGGCTAGAGCAATAGCACAGCGGGATGGGCGTTTTCCTTGCACGTGTCTGACCCGGGTTCGATTCCCCGCATCCCATATGGTCCTCCAAGCACCGCCAGGAGTAATTCCTGAGTGCAGAGCCAGGAGTAACCCCTGAGCAAAAAAAAAAAAAAGGAAAAAAAAGTATATTTTAAATTATAATAATATAAAATATGTTATATCCATATTATTATAATTTATATTCACGTGTTAAATTATATATAATTAAATTATATAAAAATTATATACTAAAGTATCTTAAAACTTAGCCCCAGGGTCAATCTTCATGGCCAGACTGAAAACCCTTCTTTTCACAGGAAAGAAGCACACAATAACCTAAGGTAAAAGGTTACCTGGCGGTGTTTTTCCCCCTCCCCTCTCTGCCCGGCCAAGGCGACCAGGAAAAACAGCCCATTTGCAAAGCCTTGCATGTAGCATTGAATGGAGCCGGGCGCCCCCTGCTGGTAGTCAGTTGTTTTTTTTTTTTGACCACACCCCATGCTTACAGGGTGAGTTGCTGGAGGTGCTTGGGGTGGTGTGTGTGCAAATGAGACACACCATGCGGTGCCTGGGATCCGACCAGGGTGTCTGGCATGCACAGCATGCAATCAGCCTGCGAAGGTCTTTCTCCAGCCCTCTCTGGAACCACAAGACTCCAACTGGAAAGAACTCTAGCACAAAGCCAGGGCTTGCTCTGTCACCCGACTGACTAGCAGATCAGCCTCACCAAATGGGACAGCAACCACTAAACTCGTAAGACTTACAACAGAAATGAAGACTTCAGGGGGAAAATGCTTGACATAGGTTTGGTCACATAACAAGATTCCTTAAAGGCCAGGGAGATAGTGCAGTGGTGATTGGGGGACAAGCTTTGCACACTCAGGGATGCAAATTCAATCCCCAACACACACCCAAGCACCACTAGCTGTAGCTCTGATAGCCACTAGCACTGCTGGCCAGTTTGGCTGACAATGACTCCCTGAGCACTGCTTAGGAGACCCCTCCCCAAAAACACACATTCTTTAACTCTTTTCATAAACTGCTTACCCATATATCTAACTACACAGAAGCACATGAGAGCTTACTAAAAATACACCAATCAATAAATTGATTTCTTTTTTTAAATTTTAAAACATTGATTTATTTTTCAATCTGATTTTTCACACTTTTTTTTAAGCTTGTAACTATTTTTATTTATTTATTTTTTTGCTTTTTGGGTCACACCCTGTGATGCACAGGGATTACTCCTGGCTCTGCCCTCAGGAATTACTCCTGGAGGTGCTCAAGGGACCACATGGGATGCTGGGAATCAAACCCGGGTCGGCTGCATGTAAGGCAAAGGCCCTACCCGCTGTGCTCCAGCTCCCTACACTGTTTTCTATGTGTTTGAAACTTTAAACATACTTAAACACTCCGATTCACAGTTATTCGTAATACAGTTGTTTCAGATATTCAATGTTCCAATCCCAATCCTACCACCAGTATGAACTTCCCTCCACTAATGTTCCCAGTTTCCCACCTATTCTCCAAGCCTGCCCCCTTAGCAGGCACAAAATAATCTACTTTATATTACAACATATATCTCACAATGCTGTTATTAAAATCATTGTCTGAGGATTTACTGAGCTGTCTGGTGCTTGGTGAGCAGATTCTGTGTTAACGGTTTTCACTCACTGAGCTTAGTGGGATTCCATGCAATTTCCCCATCTAATCTGCTGTGCTCCTACTGGGCTGTCAGTATGTAGCCGTGTGCTCTAGGAGCTGTGGAACTGGGACGATAAAGCAGCTTGGCATCTCTTCAAGATTAGTCTTGGAGCTGTGAATATGGGCCCTTTATATACTGGAGAATGTTGGAGGTGGCTGGAGCACCGAGTCTCTTGGCAGGGCAAGGACATGGTGCGTGCCCATCCTGTGAAGGTTCCATCCATCTCAGCCCAGAGACAGGGCCATCTGGGATAAATCAGAGGCTGCAAGATTAGTTGTGGAGCTGTGAAGTCACAGGCTGTGTCTCTGTCAGAGGATGGTAGGAGCACTGGCCCCTGGGCGGGGAGGGACTCAGACTGCCTCCATCCTGAGAAGGCTCCAGAGATTTTAGCGTGGAAACCAGGCTTGCTTGGGACAATTCAGCAGTGTGGTGTGGTTAGCCATGATCTGATTCTTTTGGCTTCATTACCAAGCTTGCCTTTGACGTTCCAGTAACTGCTAAAGGTTGACTGTCCTCAAAAGATAGGCACTTTCCCAGGTGAATTAAGATACCTTTCCAACACTAAAATAGTCATTGCAGAATAAGAATAAACCTCAGGTTTCAAATTAGTTTCCTTATTGTCAATAGTCCTCTTTTGGGGGAGCCAGTCCAACAGTACTTGGGGCACCATGAGGTGCCTGGGGATTGAACTGAGTTCAAACAAGTAAAGCATGTGCTCCGCTCCAACCTATTAAGTTACCTCCAGGTCCTTATTTGTCCTTGTGTATTTTGGGGTGTGGGGAGTGTGTCACATCCTGCAGTTGTTGGGGAACTAACTGATGTTGGGATCTGCAGCATGCAATGCAAGTGCTTTAACCCCTATCCTATCTCTCCGACCTTTGTTGTTGGTGGCGGTGGGGAGTCACACTCAATGGTGCTCAGGGCTTATTTCTGATGGGGCTTGAGGGAACAAACCTGGGTCAGCTACATGCAAGTGTCCTGCCTGTACTCTCGAGACCCCTTGTCTGTCCTTAAAGCTTCACCTCCTATTCTCTTTCTCCTCCAACAAACCCCCCCTTCCAGCATTTTGCTTTATTTTTTTTGAACTCCCTTGATTTTATCAATTATATTTGGCTCAGAATTCTCTGGCACTTCTCACACCTTTTCTCACACTGCTTATCAGAGGATGGCTTTATTTCCCATATCAGCTCCTTCTGAAGTGAAAATTTTTAAAAAATTTTATTGTGCTTCAAAAAGGGGGTGGGGGATACTATGCCTTGATGGTTAAGATTCCACTTTGCAGCTACACCATCAGAGGCATCAACTTCAGCACCCCCATATAAAGACTGGGTGCGAGAGCACCATCTACAACATTTGAAGAGGAGTCTTAAGTGAAAGAGTGTAAAGGGGATGGCCAGGTTCTTTACTAGTCGATAATTATTATTATTTTCACTTTTTTCCCCCAGAAACAAAAGCCTTCCACTCTCAGGCATTCAAGTGCTGTTAGAGCTTGTGTGAGTAAGTGCATCCACACCTAGTGATGCCTTCCTGTTCCAAGGGTGGCGGATTCTCTGGATTTACCAGGACCAAGCCAACAGAGGCAGGGCGATCTCCTGGCTCACTGGCCTTGCACCTTCCAGCCAAGCTTCCTTGGGCAGCCCAGGCTCCAATAAGCGTTGCTGGCCAAGAAAGTGCCCTGTTAGCTGCAGGTGTTGGGGGAGGGGGATGGCTTGAAATACAACTCAAATGGTAACTTCCTCATTTGAACAGTCAAGAATTCATAACCCTAAGGACTGGAGCGATAGCACAGCGGGTAGGGCGTTTGCCTTGCAGGCGGCTGACCCGGGTTCGATTCCCAGCATCCCATATGGTCCCCTGAGCACGGCCAGGAGTAATACCTAAGTGCAGAGCCAGGAGTAATCCCTGTGCATTGCCGGATGTGACCCAAAAAAAGCAAAAAAATAAAAAATTCACGGCTACCTGTTGGGTAGGAAGGTTCTAGAACCTGCCTCTGAGCCCTTGGCCAACTTTTTCATGTTCCCTTGTCCCTTTGATCGCCTGAAAGGCACTTTTCTGAAGCCTGAGAAATAACCCAAGCCATCAGCATCGCATCCCTGCGATTTCCCGCCCTTTTATTTCCCCCACGTGCGACAGCTCGTGACATCTGACGAGAAACACGGTCCCCTCCATCTCGGGGGTCGGGGGATGGTGCGCGGGACAAAAGCGGGCCCCGTAGTCGGAGGACACGCGAGAAAGCAGAGGTGACACGTGCCCGCCCGGGGAGTCGCGTCGCGAGGCGGCACAGGATCGGGCGCACCGCGCCGCGCGCCTCGCCCGCCTCAGCCGGCCTGGGCGTCTCCCGCGCGGCGGGGAACGGCTGTGCGCCGGCACCAGCCCGCGGGGCCCCGCCCCCGCCCGCGGCCGGAGCGCTGCGATTCGCCGGTCCCGCCCCAGGCCCCGCCCCGAACCCCCCTCCACATTTCCCCCCCCCAGTCCCCGCCTCCACCCCCGCAGCGCCGCGCTCTGGGGCTCCGCACAAAATGGCGGCGGCGCCGCGGGCCCACGATAGAGACGTCCGCCTTCCGCGGAGAGAGCGCCGGTTTCAGGGAGACGTCGGCGCCGACGGAGAAGCGTGCGACGGCTTCGCCTTCCGGCGGAGGCGAGAACAGGGGCCACCGCGGGCCCTTCTAGGAGAAAGGCGAGCCATCTCCATGGTGCCGAGTCGTCCGAGCCGGGCCACGTGACAGAGCCGCAGTCGAGGCCGGCGCGAGGAGAGACGGGCGGGGCTGGAGCCTGGGGGGCGGGGCTTAGAGCCTGGAGGGGCGGGGCCCTGGCGCCGGCTGCGTTGTCATGGAGCTGCGGGGCCGGGCTCGCGCATGCGCCGCGGGGCTCGCGGGTCCGGCTGCTGGAGCGGCGATTCCGGCCCTAGGTGAGAAGGGGAGGCGGGCTGGGCGCGACGGCAGCAGGGGGAGTTTGGGGCTCCCGAGCGTGGGCCGGGGGAGGGTCGAGGAGCGGGGGGGCGAGGCGCACGGGAGGGCGAGCTGCGGCTCTCAGGGCGACGGGCCGACGCGTCCCCCCCTCCCCCCCGCGTTTCCTGGCTTGGGCCGGGGGCGTGCGTGCGGGCCTGGTGGGTGAGAAGGGGTCGCGGGGGCTGGGGGGGCGCTGCCCGGGGCCCGTGGGGGGTGCAGGCTCGCTGATCTCGTCCTCCTCGGGGGCCACAGAACCTGGAGGCCTGCCGCCAGCGAGCAGAGGGGCAGGGGGTGGACAGGTGAGTGGGCTCAGGAGCAGCTGGGGACCCCCTCGTGCGCGGCCATGGCCGTGACCCCGGCGCCCCGGCCTGTCCTGGGGGTGCGGGCGCAGGTGTGCCGGATTGCCTCGAGAAGACCTGTCACCCACTTTGCTGGTTCCATTCCCCCACCCCTACCCCCGGGTGTCAGGCGAGGTGGGGGAGGAAGAAGGTGGGCAGAAGTGAGTGGGGGTGGATGGGAGGGAGGCCTCGGCCCAGATCCCGGTGCAGGGCCCAGGCCACAGCCGGGGCACCCTGGGCTTGCCCAAGCCCTGGCACCTAGCTGGGCTGGCTTTGGCTCAGGCGTTGGGCCCGTGAAGGCGGGTGGCATGCCAGTCCCAGCATGGTCCCCCGGGGCCCGCTCGGTGGGGCCTGCTGCGCAGCCAGGCCGCCTGGCACACAGATGCCGCGTGGGCTGGTGCGAACGGGGAGGTGGGTGCTGTGCCCGAGCTGCTGGGGGGGGGGGATTTGAGAAAGTTCTCTTAGCTCTTTAAAAGAGGGGAGACTTGGGGGGACAGTCGGGGGGTGGGGGAGCCCAGTACCTGGTTCTACACGGAACACATAACACTTGGTGGACACGGGCGGGGCGGACGAGGTTGCAGCCAAGTTGGAGAATGGGAGAAGAGGGTTCGGGGGAAGAAGGATGGGAGGAGGGTTTATTTTGTTCTCTGTGCACATAGACGTTGCCTCAGAAGGGCGGTCCCGCATAGCACATCCGAGGAAGATGACTACAGAGAAACCCTAGACGTGTAGGATTGATAGCGTTCTGTGAAGATGGAATTGTGGAATATTGCCACGTCCGGATAGGAGGATGTGACTCTCCAGTGTCCATCAATAGAATTCAGTAATTTATTAGTTCTGAGAGTAGTTGTGGCTGCTGGTGGCCTGGTTCCTAATTTCCTGTGGCCTGCTGTTGCTTTCTTGTGTTTTAGTCCCTAGCAGGGCTGTGCCGCTCACACCTCTGACCACGCACTCATGTTCTACCTGTGACGCAATTGAAGAGAACTTGACCTCAGGAAAGTGGCCAGATGTCTATAAAAAAAAAAAAAGAAAGAAATCTGAGAATGGCATTTCGGATCCTTTCCTTGTAAGCCTTGGGTCGCCTTTTTATCCTAAGCCCGAAGGCTTCACAGACATTGTTGGTGGATTAGACTGGCTTTTAATCTGGTTGGTGGATTTATCTTAGAGATATCTATTTCCGGCAGGAGACCAGACCTGGAAATTAGATCTTGAGGTTGACGGTGATGTTTGGAAATGCAGAATCTTGACCTTGGGCCAGGGAGATCGCTGAGAGGGCTGGGGCACATGCGTGACGTGCTCAGAGCCCTGAATTTGACCCCTGGCACTTTGTGTCCACCAAAGCATCACTTGGAGCCCTGATGGCCTCCATTACTACTGAGGAGACCCTCTCCCAAGCCCCCTAAAAAAAAACAAAAACAAAAACAACAGTTTCAAGCTGTTTAGGGTATTTCAGTGACCAGTGGACAGAAGGCTGGTTGGAATTTATTATTCTGTGAAGTATATTCCATATACTGTTGGGGGTTGAGGTTGTAAAGGTGATAAAAAAAAAACAACCCTTCGGGTTAAGGAGGCGAACAATTAGATTCATGTCAGTAGTGTAGACATACAAGAACCAAATGAGGAGCAAAGTTAGTATTTTATCTGATATCAGATATGTAAACCTATTTACTTATACTTGGTTTGGGGGGCCACATCCAGAAGTACTGGGAGCTACTTCTGGCTCAGTGCTGGGAAATCACCCCTGGCAGTGCTCAGGAACCATGCGGAGCCAGGGATTGATCCCAGTGCTCCCGTGTGCAAGTATCCCACTAATTATCACCTAAATATGCTTCTTGCGTCACTGTCCATTAGGCATTACAATGTACACTTTCTGGGAACCTTCTCAACAATGTGCTACGTATGCTTATAAGAAGCCCATTCAAGGGGCCAGGAGACAGTACAATAGGGTGTATGTCTAACATGTGTCCAAACCGGATTCTATCCTTGGGTGTCATATCATCCCCCGAGCATCACTGGGTTCAGCCTGGAAACCCTTGAGCACTGCCAGGGTGGCCTGGGTGGTCCTTGTATCACCTAAGTATCACCATATCCTTGGGCCCTTACATTGAACTGCAGGCTCAGTTGGTCAAGAATTAGCATTGTTTCCCCTGGGCTGCTTGGGAGCACCCAACCCCAAATAAGCTTATTCAGGGGAACTTAAGTTGCATTCTCCCAATGCATGTAGGCAGGGAAGGGTTGAAAAATGTTTGTAAAGCAGCATTAGTGATTTCCAGTGTCAGGAAGTAGAGGCGGTGACACAGTGGGTCAGGGCTTAGTGGTCTGTTTTCTTTTTTCTTTTTTTTTTTTTTTTGGCTTTTTGGGTCACACCTGGAGATGCACAGGGGTTACTCCTGGCTCTGCACTCAAGAATTACCCCTGGAGGTGCTCAGGGAACCATATGGGATTCTGGGAATAGAACCCCGGTTGGCCATGTGCAAGGCAAACGTCCTACCCGCTGTGCTATTGCTCCAGCCCTCTTTTGTTCTGTTTTGGGGCCGTACTCAGTGAAGCTTAGGGCTTACTCAGGGATCAGTCCTGACGGGCCCAGGGGACCATATGTGGTGCCAAGAATTGAAGCCAGGTCGGCCATGTGAGGCGAGTCCTCTCCTTGCTGTACTATTGCTCCAGCCGCATAAGTGGTTGCTTTTAATCCCTAATCAGTCTCTTACCCTCCCCCTTCATTGCTGCTGTGCAATAATGCAGAGGAGGAGGTAACTAGACGTCTTCAGATGGGCTGGAGCGTGGGCAGTCACTGCCTCTGGGAGGGGGTAGGGTTTGTGTTTTGCGGCTAGAGTGAACCAACCCCCTGCCCAGGAAGAAAGGACAGGCTAGATGGAGTCTTTACGCTCCCTCCCACTTGAACTTCTCTGGGATACCACGGTATCTGCTGGTATCTGCTGTTAAAGAGAACCTCACCAGGTCAGAGCGATAGTACAGCCTGGCATGCGGCCCACCCGGGTTCCATTCCTGGCATCCTAATGGTCCCCAAGTACCGCCAGGAGTAATTTCTGAGCACTGCTGGGTGTGGCCCCAAAACCAAAATAAATATAAAAGTTTAGGGTATTTCCGTGACTTTTAGAAATTAAAAAAAAAAACACCACCAGTTTGGGGCTGTAGCTCAGTGGTGAACACGTGGCTTGCCTGTGCCTGAGCTCTGTCCCTGGCATGGCAAAGAGTATAATTATGATAGAGAACTTAGAGGCTTTCGTGTTTTCAGTCATCCCAGAGCTGTCAGTTTACTAGAGAAGAGCAGATCATACGTGCTTTTTGTTTCCAACTGCTTCTGGTGACCCAGGATCGGAAAAGGAGAAATTTATCATGTTTTCCTTTTCTTTTTTGGGGGGGGGGTTTGGGGTCACATCTGGTGATAGTACAGCGATTAGTACAGGGATTGCTCTTGGCTCTGCACTCAGGAATTACTCCTGGCGGTGCTCAGGGGACTATATGGGATGCTGGGAATCGAACTTGGGTTGGCACGTGCAAGGCAAATGCCCTACCCGCTGTGCTATCGCTCCAGCCCCCTCATGTTCTCCTTTTGACCAATTTGTCACTATTCCAGTGTTTGGTCCTACAGATCCTCAGTGAGCCAGAATATAGCCCTGGGTATCTTCTGTGGCAAGATTGGGTCTATAGTCTTCTTGCAAGGATTGTAGGAGACTTAATTGGGACTGACGCCTTATCTAAAGACTGGTAAAGTAATCCACCTTTAGGAGATCCAGGGAAACTTGGTCATTTATTTAGTTGTAACTAACCAGACAGCTCAGTCGTTGCTTCCTCATGGAAAAGACCAGAAATTTCCCAGTAACCGATCGCTTCCTCAGGCTACCTCTGCTTCTTATTTCAAGGGAATGAAACTGTGTGCATTCATTGGGTGTCACACAAAAGGATTCTGGGTTAGTTATAATTTTATTCCACATCCTAATCTTATTTATTTATTTATTTGTTTTTGGTTTTTGGGTCACACCCGGCAATGCACAGGGTTTACTCCTGGCTCATGCACTCAGGAATTACTCCTGGCAGTGCTCAGGGGACCATATGGGATGCTGGGGATTGAACCTGGGTTGGCCACGTGCAAGGCAAACGCCCTACCTGCTGTACTATCACTCCAGCCCCCTCCACATCTTAATCTTGTCTGCGCTCCCAAACTCCCGTGGAGGTGTCGCTGTGGCTTAGTGCTGGCCACCACATCAGGGCACCGTCCTTGAGCTAGCACTCCAACACGTGACCCGTCTCGGGGTGCCTGGATGGATGGGAAGGTGAAGGTTGTCCCCTGCATGAGTTGGTTGTGAGCCAGAGGAACTGTGGAATGGTATTTTAAATGCCACTGGGGTCTGGGGAGATGGCTCCACAGGTTGGGGCGCATCCTTTGCGTGAGGGAGCCCACGGTTCAGTCTTGGACACACTGTGGATCCCAGTGCAGCCCTGAGTGTTCCCCTCTATCCCCATGCAGCCCATCCCTGTCTCAGCCAGTGCCGCCGGGAGTCTGCTGTGCTCTCTGTGAGCGCGTGAGCAAGCGGCAGCGTCTGTGTCTTCTGTTTCATGTTTGAACCCTGCTCTGCCTCAGCAGCGGTTGGTGATCACCAGTTCCCGTACTCCTAGGAACGTATGGCTCAGGGTTTCCCAGCCCTAGTATTCCTGGGCAGGGGTTCCTGTGTCCCTCCCCTCAGTGGGCTGGGACCAAATGACTTGTCTTACACGATGACTTGCTAAGTCAAAACACCACCGAGTGGCTCATGTCTAAACAGTGGAAATGGATTTCTCCTGGTGCTTCCGGGACTGGCAGTCTGAGATTGGGACTCGCCGGCAAGATTGGGATAAGATCCGGTCTCTCCCGTGGACTGGGGCACTGTAGTCCTGGTGAAGGGCCAGCGCCTCCCATAATTAGTCTTCTCCTTGCGGGCTCCACCCCCATCTAATACTGGTCCCTTTGGGGGTGGGTTTTCAGCACATGCATCCAGCCCACCCACCCCCCCATTCTGACCCCCCTTCCCCTTGCTGCCCTGAGGGTGGCATCATCCTCTGTCCTGTAGGAGGCTGGTGCTGCCGTGGTGCTATATGTAGGTTCTCAGAGGTCCCGTTTCATTCCAGTTGTCCTGCTCCCACCCATGCTCACATCCTGTCCCCCCCCCCCCCCCCCCATGGCATGGTTCTCACGCATAGTTTGGTGGTAGCACTCCCTGCACTCCCTGGCCTCACCATGGGACTCACCCTCCTGGCCTCAGTGCTCACCATCTTCTGTCGTGGTGCTCACTGGGCTCACACACGTTCATTGCAGTGCTCACAGCCCAGGCTGGGGGCCAGCAGCCGGTGGACTGTGTTGCATGGCCCCTCCCCGGGGCAGCAGAGCCTCGGGGGAACGTGCCTGGTGTGTGTGGGAGGCGTTCCTGGCCTGGCTTTTGCGAGGCAGGTGCCTTTAAGGCTGAGTCATCCCAGGCCCTGACAAGTATTTTTAAATGGCTGAACTGTAACTTCTCTGAGCGCTGCCACCTCCTCTCTGGAGCAGCAGGGGCTTAAGTGAGGTGCCATTTAGAAGGGTGGGGCTTTTTATAGGTTCGGTGCCCTCTTCTGTATGATCTTATTTGTGCAGTGAAGGGGCTTTTTTTTTTTTTCCCCAGTGTGATTTTATTATTTTTTTTTTATAGTAGCCTGTGCCTCTAAGGGTTGTTCCCCGGGTTCAGCGTGCCAGCCCAAGCAGTGAAGGTTAATGCGGGAGCCTGCCCTGTGGGAGTGGCAGCCCGCTGCAGCCCTGCAGCTGTGGGCTGGGGCTCAGGCCTGGCTGACCTCGCCTCCCTCTGTGGGGGGGGGGGCACCCCAGACAGTGCCAGCCAGCTGCATCAAGGGGGTCTTTGTTAGCAGGTTACAGAATTTCCTTCGAGCCAGCTCTTGGTCTCAGGACAGGGCACAGTACGGCCTGAGTCCTGGGGGAGGGGCTGTCTGGGGGGCTGGGTGTGAGGCCACCTTTCTGCTGTAGAGAGGCAGAACCTGGTGGGGCAGCGAGGGCGGGGGCTGGGACAGAGGGGAACGGAGGCAAAAGAGGTGGGCACCCTGAGGCAGTGGGGGATCAGAGGGGGTTCAGGGGGCCCCGAGGCAGAAGCAGTGGAGGGGCTTGAGACAGTAGGGGGCCTGAGGGGGGTGAGGGGGGCCTGAGGAGGGGACCTGAGGCAGAAACGGTTGGGGGAGGTCTGAGGCAGTGAGGGGGGACTTAGGCAGTGGGGGACCTGAGGGAGGAAAGGTGGGGGGGGGTCTGTGAGGCAGTGAGGGACCTGAGGGGGGGGAACCTGAGGCAGAAGCGGTTGGGGGGTGTCTGAGACAGTGGGGGGGGGGCCTGAGGCAGTGGGGGACCTGAGGAGGGACCTGAGGCAGGAAAGGTGGGGGTCTGAGGCAGTGAGGGGCCTGAGGGGGGGAACCTGAGGCAGAAACGGTTGGGGGGTGTTTGAGGCAGCGGGGACCTGAGGCAGTGGGGGGCTTGAGGGGGGACCTGAGGCAGTGGAGCATGGCTAGTGGGTTCTTGCCTCACTTTTGCTCTGTTGGGGTCCCTCGTGTCGCTGTGCCTGCGGGTGGTGACTCGTGTGATTGTCTCTCACAGGGCAGGCCCAGTGCGAAGGGGACTCATGAGTCTGCGTGCAGCCCAGTAACATGGAGAGGAGACCTCCCCCCAGAGAGAGCCCCCGAAGACTCTCGGCCAAACTCAGCAAAGGCACCGAGATGAAAAAAGGCGCACGCCAGCTCGGCGGGGCCGCGGCTGAGTCAGATAAGGACTCGGGATTTTCAGGTTAAAAATACCTTCACCTTCTTACGTGGTCGTGAGGGGGCCGGGTGCGGTGACGAGGGACGGCTTCCCCGCGCTGGAACGAGTTTGTCCCTGCCGAGGCGGGTGCCAGGGGGCTGGGGTCCCCCGCTGCCCTCTCCTGAGGGGTTGGTTCTGAGGTAGGGAGTTTCAGGGCTTTGAAGTCTGGTTTCTAACCCTGGAGGGTGGTTTCAGGGAAGGGGGGGAGTCTCAGGCCTGATTCTCTTGTCTCAGCTCCTGTTTCACAGGGACAGTCACTTGCGGCTCTGTGTAGCCACGTCCACTGCAAGTTGCCACGTCACAAATCCCACCAGACCTCTTCTGCTCAGGAAGTCCTTAGGCTGTCGCAGAGTTAGGTTCAGGCTTAGGCTTCCCCTGCTAGTTAGTATCTACACTTTGTCTTTGGAGGAGGAAGGCGGGGTCCAGTTCCAGACTTGAGCTTCTGTGAGAGCCCAAAGGGTCGATCCTTGTCCTGTCCCTGTCCTTCCCCAGAAGAACCAGCCAGGGGCTCAGAGCAGGTTCTTCTAGAGTTTCTATGTCTGAGGCTCTGAGGCGCGAATGTAAACATTTTGGGCCTGGAGAGAGAAGAGGGGGTGACACCTGAGGGTTCTGACCGTGCGGGTCTCTGGGGGGAGGCGGGGGGCAAAGCTCTCCCAGAGGCCTGAGTGACATGACCCCCTAGAGGTGAGTTGCTGGGGCCCAGCCTCGCAGAGACCAGTGGCCTTGGTAACTGCAGTCGGAAAGGCAGCTGTGAGGAAACTGGATTCTCTCGCCCTTAGACAGTGCGTTTTCTCAGGCATGTGCATGAGAAGCCAAATTATAAATAGACTGTAGTTGAGAGAGCAGCAGAGTTCTGTGGCCCTGGGGTTAGAGTAAGGTCAGGCTGAGCGAAGGGGGGATGGGAGGCAGGAAACTGTCACCCTTGAACTCTTTCCTCTCCCTCCCTCCCTCCCTCCCCTCCCTTTGTCTCCCCCCCCTCTCCTTTTTCCTCTTGGTTTTGGGCCACACCCAGAGGTGCTCAGGGGTTATTCCCGACTCTGCATTCAAGGATCATTCCTGGGGGAGGGTGGGGGCATTGTATGTGGTGCCAGCGCTGGAACTCGGGCCTGCCACGTGCGAGGCGAGCGTCCTACCCACTGTACTCCCACTCTGGCCCAAGGGCAAAAGAGTGGACCAAAGTCCGACATTTATTGCGCACATTCCAAGAGAGCAGAGGGCGAGACTGCGAGCAGTCTGCGGAGGTGGGGCTCAGAGCAGAGGGTGGTGTCTGGTGCCTGCCGGAGGAACTGCAGCCGTTTCGCAGCCTCAGCCTGATTTCCATTCGATTTGCAGCCTGTTTTCCTGACGGGCTTTTCCACTGTAGGCAGTGTTCCCACCAGTGGCAAGATGTTCTGGGAACGGGATGTGCCTGTGGTCAGCCCGTCTGGACCATCGTGCACTCAGTATTGTTTTGTAACCCGCAGCACTTTGCACATACAGGGCCTGGCCTTCAAGCCCCGTGGCCGAGAAAGTCATAAGTAAAATTAAAACAGTGATCCCATCCCACCATTCTCTGAACATTTTTTTAGTTACTCCCCCGCTCCCTTCCAGCTCCCCAGTGCTTAGCCCAGGGGCCACTGGGGCTATTCCGGGGAGCAGCTCTGTGCCAGGGACTAAACTTAGGGCCTCACATATGCCAGGCATGTGCTCCGCCACCTGAGCCGTCGTCCCCCGCCCGTTCCTTGTGCATTGTGTTCCTGACAGTCTTCCATGGGGAAGCACGTTCCCTCCTCCACCCCCTCTTTGGAGTGTCTCTGGGGTTTCATGGAGTCTTTTGTGTAGTTTGTCGGTCCTTTTCTTTTTTCTCCTTCCTTCCTTCCTTCCTTCTGATGTCGGTGGGCCCCACGGGTGACTTATGTGAAGTGGGGAGGAAAAAGACAGCCACTTTCTCCTCACCCGCCTCTGCCACCCGGAACCCTGGGTAGGCTAGGACCGGTAAAGTCTGCAGTGAGCACCTGCTCGGCACGGGCCTGAGCCCCGCCAGCCCCACGAGGTGGCCGTCAAGCCACACCTGAAGTCCGCTTGATCTTCTCGGCACGGGAGTTAATCCCCGCCACCCGATTGCTCGGGGAGCCACGAACTCAAGTTGGGGCGAGAATTTGCTCTTTGCAGGAAAGGAGAGACCAGTCCCAAGCCTTACCCGAGGTTTCTGGGGTTCTTGTCTCGCTCGCAGAAAAGAATTTCAGGAGTAGACGAGCAGTGAAGTAACAGGTTTTATTTGGAGGCTTTTGGAGAGGGAGAGGAAGGGATAGGCAGATAAGCGGGGGAATGGAGAGTAAAAGAGAGAGAGTAACGCGTCCAGAGGGAACGCGGGCTTCTCCGAGGGTGGAGAGAGCCCCAACTGGGCTCTTGAGCTGGCTCTTATAGATCCTTCCGACTCAGAATGTTCTGGAATCTCCTTGGGGCTGGGTCACTGGAGTCAACCGGATTGAAAGCAGGTTCGAGAGTCATCTGACTTGGAATGTCCTGGGGTCTCCTTGGGGCTGGGTTGCTGGAGTCAACCGGATTGAAAGGGGGTTCGAGAATCATCTGACTTGGAATGTCCTGGAATCTCCTTGGGGCTGGGTCGCTGGAGTCAACCGGATTGAAAGGGGGGTTCTCGGAAAGGAGGAATTTCATGGGGAGGAGGCCCATATTTTCAGGGTCTGGGGATGGTCTTATCAAGTCTTTATTCTCTGTGTCCACAGGGTGGGTCGGTCCTAGAATTCTTCTATGAGACTTTGTTTCATTGCAGAGAGCCTTTCCCTATCTACCTGCCTACATCACTTCCTTCCTTCCTTCCTTCCTTCCTTCCTTCCTTCCTTCCTTCCTCCCTCCCTCCCTTGGGCCACACCCAGAGGTGCTCAGGGGTCCCTGCCGAGGCGGGTGCCAGGGGGCTGGGGTCCCCCGCTCCCCTTCCTTCCTCCCTCCCTTGTGCTGTGATTGCTTCGGATCTTCACTGTGGGAACCCCCTCTGGGTCACTCCTGTGTCCTTTTGGCTGGTGTCCTTTTGGGTATGAACACACCTCTGCTTTCTGGTGCCCAGGCTTATCTCCTCCCAGAGACTTCACCTTGCCGCTTCCTGGCTTGATTTTGTGCAGAATGGCATTTCAAGACCCAAGTTGCAGACCTCCCAGGATTGCGCCTGGAGAATGGCGCATAGTCTGTGAGCCTGGGGGGTGGGAGGGAAAATAAGTCAGTCTATTCCCACTCGCTCTGTGGCTGACGATTGGAAGACACTCTCCACAGTGCTCTGTGGAGTCAGGGAGGCCACCTCCGGAGCCACTGATCTTAGCTCCATCTCACTCTTTCTAAACTGACAAACAAGCAAACAGAGGAAAGGGGGTGGGGCCAGAGAGATGGTATCGAGGTGAAGGCACCTGCCGTGTTCGAGGCTGACCCTAGTTCCACCCCCAGCATCAGATACAGTTCCCCAAGCACTGCCAGGAGTAACCCCTGAGCACAGAACCAGGAGTCAGCTCTGAGTCCAATCAGTTTCCCCCCAAGTCCAAAACAAACAAACATCCACAAAAGACAGGACTGGAGAGAGTATAGTGGGTAAGTTGTTAGCCTTACACTCAGCCGACTTTTTAAAAAATGGAAGGAACCAAGATCCAGGTGAAGGTATGCGCTGAGTCCTTTATTTATGGCCTAAGAGTTCTTTTGGGGGGCTGCATTCTGCACTTCTCAGTGGGCTGCTCCTGGCTTAGTGCCTGAGAGACTGTGCGGTGCTCGGAGTGGAACCCGGGACTCGCACCTGGAGAAGCCGCGTGCTGGCCCTTGCACTGTCTCCCTGCCCCCGCTTAATTGTTCTTAACTGGAGGTGCACAGTTGCATTATTTGTGGTGCTTTGTGAAAATGTACCTGCCTGCACACCAGGTAAATCAATCCAGTAGACTGAGGGGAGAGCGCTGACATTTTTAATTTCTAAAAAGCGTCCCTGGAGACCCTGATTAAATGCAAGTGTTGACAGCTGCTCTCATTTAAATTACAGTCACATTCCAGTTCTGCCTCGTCCAGATTACTCGGAGATTCTTGAGCGTTTAGGGTATTCCCAGGTTCCCCAACTGCAGGACTGCAACAGTCTCTTGGTTTTCTCGAGCCAGCAGCTAATTAAATGCTTTGTGTACTGAGTGTACTTAGGGCAACCTTATTTTCTTTGCCTAGGGAGTGTCTTCCTATCACCCTTCCAGCAGGATCCCCAGGGGGCACACTTAGCCTGTGTTTGGACACCAACAAAGGAAGTATTTAATCGAATAGAGGGAGATGACAAAGAGAAACGTGTGCATTCCACACGGTAGCTTTGACAGGGCTGTCTAGACTTTTTAACAGTTAAGTTAGGAAAGTGAGCTCTCAGCTTTATGCTGAAGTTACAGAGGGGCGCAATTTCAGTTTTCCACTTGGACCTCTGCAGCTTTCGGTCCTGCCCCAGGCCACGCACACACTCTTCTCTCTCTCTCTCAACACAGAGCCTTGGAAATCATAAACTTGGGGCCCAGAGACAGCTCTGAGAGCTAGAACACACACCTGGCAGGCGGAGCTCCCCAGTTCCATCCCTGCTACCGCATTGTCCCTGCACCCTGCTACGAATGGCCCCCAGACTCTCAGAGCACTGCTTGGGAGTCTCCCCCCAAGCCCCCTAAATAAAAAATAATGGCCTTACTTAGAAACCTTGACCCATTTCTCTGTAGACTGGGGTGACCTCTTTGACATGGACCCTGACTCGTGCCAATTGTTGACTGTGGCAGGAAGGAAATCCACTGCCCAGGGCAGTAATTCTTAAATCTTTTGGGGAGTGAGGAGTGGTTTTGGATCCCATTGAGAAGCTAGGGAAAGTTTCAGACTCTCAGAAAAGCTCATTTAAAAAAACACCCTCACGGAGGCCCGCCCCAACGCAGGGGCCCCTGGCTCCCTCAGAGCTGCTAGCCCAGAGCCCGAGTGGACTGCCCGTTCTTCTCCTCACCAGATGGGAGCTCAGAATGCCTGAGCTCGGCCGAGCAGATGGAGTCCGAGGACATGCTGAGCGCCTTCGGCTGGAGCCGAGAAGACCGGCCACGGCCCAACTCCAAGGCTGCCGGCAGTGTCTTCCCGACGCTGTCACCCATGGTCGTCATGAAGAATGTGCTGGTCAAACAGGTGAGGAAGTGCAGGACCCCCAGGAGTGCTAGGAAACGGTTCACAGCACCTGATGTGTGTGCCTGGGCTTCCAGGCCTCCTAAGCACCCCTGGAACCATACCAGTGTATACACTTTGGGAGTTATTTTTTTGTGGCGGGGGGGGGGGGGGGGAGGGTTGTGTTGTTTTGGGGCCACACCCGGCTGGGCTCAGGAATCGCTCCTGGCACTGCTTCTGGTGGACTTCAGGAGGTGCTGGGGCTTGAATCCAGGTTAGCTATGTGAGTTTTGTTTTTTGGGTCCCAGCTAATGATGCTTGGAGGTCAGGAGAAAGAAGGGGAAGATTTGGTGCTCTAACTCTGTGCTCAGGGAGGGGCTGATCCTGGTAGTGTTCATGGGACCCTGCGTGCCAGATACCAAACCTGAGCCTCCTGCATACAGAACCTGCATTCAGCCTGTTGAGCTGTCCCCAGCGCCTGCTGTGTGTACTTCTGTCCTGGGGAGACGCTATTTCCTTTCAGCTATTGACTGTGTTTTAAGGAGGATTATAAGAATTATTACCTGTGTTCTCATGTACCAGACAGGAAGATTGTCTAATTCCCTTTAGCTCATGCTTATCGGAAGGACCTTGAGGCAGGTGTGAAGGAGCCCAGCTTCTTTAGACAGTCTTATCTACAGCAGAATTTAGGGTAGAAACAAGCATTCCAGATTTGAATTGCCCTGGGTAGTTAGGAATATAGGATGTTTGTGCTTGAAAAGCAGGCAGTTTCCTATATTTCATGCTCCTTCTAAGCATCTTCTCAGTAACAGGCCGGGGGCCCTGCCAACAGCGAGGAAGCAGCTCGTAGGTTTGGCTTTGGGACCACAGCCACAGTGGTTGGACGTGGAGCCTCGGGCTCCCTGAGCAGTCCATGCACGGCTGCCCTGGGAGTGTGACCCCAGGTCCAGAAGGCAGCGCTTTGGTTTCCAGTCTAGGTACCAGCAGAGTCTACACAGCCCTGCTCTAGATTTGAAAAATGTCCCACTCTAGGCCTTATGACCCAACCATGCTTATTTCGTGATAGATGTTTCAATGCGAAAGAAAGAAGATCAGAAATCTCAGTGAAGCCTTAGTGTTTGAAAGAAGAGAACTCAGTCCTAGGAGCACGCTTAAATTAGCACAGTCATGTAGGTAGCATTGAGCCCAAAGCCCTGTACCCTCATGCTCAGCTCTGCACTGAGCCCACTCTAGGTGGGTCCAGTGATGAGGCTGTGTGAAGGAAGGGAAACAGGAAATCAGAAACCGGCCTTTTGTTGTTGCCCTTCCTGCCTTCCAAGGCCTGACAGGAACCCGTTAACATCTTAACTATCACCTAGGCTCTTCCAGGGAACACGAGCTGAGTTTCAAGTAGGCAGCCTGGTGAGGGAAGAGGAGGGGAAGATTGTTGGTTGTCAGGTTGCGTCTCTGCTGCAGGCATAATTCCCTTGACTGAAACAAAGAGATTCAATACGTGGTCTGGAGCCCCAATGAGATTTCCCGGGTCTCCTAGCGCCCCACCATCAGACTTTCCCTGTCGCCCTCTCTGGCTCTTAGGTGTCTGGGTAACGTGTGGATACGATTGTGTAGCTGCATTTATGCATTGTTTCTGTCTCACGGGCAAGGCTGGCAGCTGCACAGGACAGGCACAATTGCCCCTGGGGCGGCTGAGTGAGGAGGCTTTTCCCACAGAACTGCATTTTCCCCACATAGACCTGCTGGAATTGGCAGTCTGGCATTAGACTAATGATTCAACTGAGGGACCTTTGCCTCCTGGTCCATGCCCTTCTTGTGATTTGCCTTCCTGGCTTTTTTCCTTTAGAGGGGCTGACTCCTGTTCTCAGGCAACACTGACCTTGAAACACTTCCCAGCCAGGGGCTCAGTTTCCTCCTGGGCAACATTAAGGTGTGAGGTATAATGATTCTAAGTGCCCATCCGGGTCTCAAATCTTGTTCTGCCTTCCCTTTGAGGAGTTCAACGTGAGTAATGCTCTAAAATCGAATCATTCAAACAATACTCATAAGTCTCTATTCAGGCAGTGCATTTGGAGCAGCTCTGGCAGAGCAGTGAGAGGAATTCTCTCAGGGACGCAGTGAAGGCGACGTTTTTTTTTTTTAATCTTTTTGCCTTATAGGTCACCTCGTAGAGTGTGATTTGGGGGGTTGACCAGGGATTCTGCTTCTGGGTGAGCTGGACTAGGCTGAGCTCATCTTGGAAGGGGTCTAATGCTGAGTCTTCTGACAGGAAGGCCTAGCATTGCTTGCTTACGTGGAAGGATTGGTTGAAAAGCAGGAGGGTTCGAGGTAGATTTTTCAGGCCAGCTTTTGCACAGGAGACAGCCTGTAGTTGCCCTGAAGACCCCGCCAGGCTAGTGCACCCTGGGGAAGTCAGCCCAGGGCTTTCCGCAGATACATCAGTGACTCCTCCCCAGCCAGGAAGTCCCACTGGCCTCCTGCTGCCTCCTGCATGTGCATGCTTGTCTCGAGCGAGGTTGGAACAGGACTGGCTCCTTAACATTGGGGACGGTGGCCAGACAGTGCCTTAACTAAAATGGGCCAATTCGCTCACTCCCAGGCCGAGCTCGTGCTCGCTTTACAGGAGGCCTGGGTTCAGGTTCCATCCCTGGCACCACATGGTCCCCTGAATACTTCTGGGATCCACCTCCATATACAGAACTGGAATTAGCCCCCGGCACCACCGGGTTTGTGTGTGTGTGTGTGTGTGTGTGTGTGTGTGTGTGTGTGTGTGTGTGTAAGAACAAAAAGAAAGAAATGGAGACAGTGTCACTGAATGGCTCTGACAGAAAGCAGAGCTGCACAGTGGTTAGTGTGGGTCTTCGTGCCTCTTGGGAAGGAACCCTGGCTCCACCCATTTCTTTGTCACCTGGTGACTTATAACAGGTAATTTCACCACTCTACATGTTTCCTGTTTATAAAAGGAAATAAGTGCTCCCTGGGGCTGGAGCGATAGCATAGCGGTAAGGCATTTGCCTTGCATGCAGCCAGCCCTGCCAAGCCAGGTTCGAGTTTTCTGCCCCTCTAGGAGAGCCCGGCAAGCTACCGAGAGTATCTCGCCCGCACGGCAAAGCCTGGCAAGCTACCCGTGACGTATTCAATATGCCAAACACAGTAACAACAAGTCTCACAATGGAGATGTTACTGGGCCCGCTCGAGCAAATCGATGAACAATGGGAGGACAGTGCTACAGAAGTGCTCCCCAGGATTGTTGAGGAGACTGCCTTGTAGAGAACACCACCCTGGTGTTGTCCCTGGGTAAAAGCACTGATTTCACCGAGTCATTTGCCAGAACCCGTGGCCTGCTGGTAGTATGGAACTTTTAGTTGGTTTGGGTTTGGGTTTGGGGGCCACCGCTGATGGTGCACCTGGCTCTATGCTCAGGGGTCACTCCTGGTGGGGCTTGGGTTAGCCACATGGAAGTCAAGTGCCTTCATCCCTGCACTATCATGGTCTGAGCACATCACCTTTTTTTTTTTTTTTAATTAATTGCATTTATTTTGCTTTTTTTGGGGTCACACCCAGAGATGCACAGGGATTACTCCTGGCTTTGCACTCAGGAATTACTCCTGGCAGTGCTCGGGGGACCATATGGGATGCTGGGAATCGAACCCGGGTAGGCCGTCTGCAAGGCAAACGCCCTACCCGCTGTGCTATTGCTCCAGCCCTATGGCACCTTTTATTTTATCCTTTTTTTTCTGTTCTGTTTTTGGAGGATCACATCCAGTGGTGCTCATGGCTTTCTTCTGTCTCTTCACTCAGGGATCACTCCTGGTGGCGCTTGGGGGACCATCTGGGGTGCTGGGGATGGAACCTAGGTCAGTCATATGCAAGGCAAACGGTCCTACTTGCTGTCCTATCATTCTGGTCCAGTGTGTAACTTTTTAATCAGAAATTGCCTTCCGGTGAACAAGGTGCTGGAGGCAGCTAAGGGAAGAGTCTTGGATGCTGAGACCCATTCACAGATCTGAGGCTTGCCTTTCAGCGCCTGCCAGGAAATTGCACCTGCTGGGGTGCCCTTACCTCAGCGTGACCATCACTGAGGAAACCTGCTACTGTTTCTTCTTAGGGCTGCCACTTACATTTTTAAAAGGGATTTTCCAGGAAGGGGGAGGGCCAAGTCTGATCCCTAGGAGCACCGGTCGACCCAAGCACTATCAGGTGGGACCCCTACGGAAGAAAACACAGGTGTTTTCTCCAGCACGGTGGTGTGCCGCGCCCCCAGCCAGGAACGCCCCTCCCCGTCCCTCCCCGAGCACTGACGGGCCGTGTGCACTCTCCCGCCTGTGCAGGGCAGCAGCTCCTCACACCTCCAGTCCTGGACTGTCCAGCCTTCCTTCGAAGTCATCTCGGCCCAGCCGCAGCTCCTCCTCCTTCACCCTCCTGTCCCGTCTCCCGTCAGCCCGTGCCACGCGGAGGAGAAAAAGCTGGACTCCAGGAACTACTTGCCCATTCTCAATTCCTACGCCAAAATCGCCCCGCACCCGGGTAAGAGGGGCCTTCCGCTGGGCCCCGAAGAGAGAGGAGACCGTGGGGTGCAGAAGAAGCTCTGCACGGAGAGACTGGGGGCGCAGGGCTCGTCTCCCAGCGAGCCCAGCAAGACTGGTGCTGTGCCCTCCAAGGCCCCGACTCCGGCCACCCCTGGCGCCAAGCTCGCCGAGGACCCCGCGCCGCAGGGCGTGCCCGCCCCGGTGGCAGGCGGGAGTCCCCAGACTCTGCAGCCCGTGTCCAGCAGCCACGTGGCCAAAGCCCCCAGCCTGACCTTCGCCTCCCCCGCCAGCCCCGTATGCGCGGCCGACAGCACGCTGCATGGGCGCGAGAGCAGCTCGCCGCTATCCCCGCTCTCGGCCGCCTACAGCTCCCCGCTCTGGGCCACCGAGCACCTGTGCCGCAGTCCCGACAGCTTCGCCGAGCAGAGGCAGAGCCGGCACCGGCGCTTCCAGAACACCCTGGTGGTGCTGCACAGGTCCGGGCTGCTGGAGATCACGCTCAAGACCAAGGAGCTGATCCGGCAGAACCAGGCGACACAGGTGGAACTGGAGCAGCTGAAGGAGCAGACCCAGCTGTTTCTCGAGGCAGCCAAGAGCAGGGCCCCCCAGGCCTGGGCCAAGCTGCAGGCGTCCCTGATGGCGGGCCCCGGCCGCGGCGGCGGCGGCTTGGATGCCTTCTCCAACCACCCAGACCTGTGACGGTCGGAGCCCAGGCTGCTCTCCACCCACTTGACGGTTCTCGCGAACCCCGACTGTTCTCTCGCTCCCGTTTCCCAGGGCTGCTCCTCCCTACCTGACCGGGGTCAGTGCGCTGCTCAGTGTTGACCTGTGGTCTCTGCACAGCTCACGGGTGTCACCGTTCCGCTGAGGCCCACAGCGTCCCCGTGTCTTCACTTCCTTCCCCTCAGCCCGCGGGTCCCCGGGGCGGATCGCAGGCCAGAGCAGCAGAGGAGGCCGTGTTGGACTCTTCTTGCTGTCCCCTCCCCCTGCTCCACTCACTCACCCAAGGACAGTGACAGCCAGGAGCGTCCAGGGTGACACCTGGACACCGGGCATCTTCAGAAAAGTAAGAGGAGGTGTGTTAGCATGTGCCACCCCTTCATGGGTGGACCCTCCAATGCTTTGAGCACAGGTAGGGATCAAGCACTTAATCACTTAAAGCTTTTTTTTTGTAAACTTGAAAGTCCAAGGGCTAGGGCAGTGCCATTCCACCATCCCGGTCCCCTTCACTCCCGCGGGAAGGCATGGCCGCTGCGTAAGGAATGCAGGCGGATTGATCCTGTGGGATTCAAGCTGCTTGGACTCAGAGAAAATAAGTATGGGCAGCACCTATGGGTAGGAGCTGGAAGATTCTGGTGATCCTTGCTTTTTGCTCTCATTTTGAAGTGGTGTGTCCAGCGTTGTGTGTGAGAATCTTTGTGTTCTGTTTTGTTTCGGGTTTTTGTTTGGGGGGTCACACCTGGCAGGGCTCAGAGGTCATTTCTGGCTCTGCACTCGGGTCACTCCTGGTGGTCCTCAGGGGACCGTATGGGATGCTGGAGATAGAGGCGCGTAAGGCAAACACCTTACTCCACTGTCTTATCTCTCTGGCCCCAAGAAAGAGCACCTTAGGGAGCACGTCCCGGTTCTGATAGTGCCGTCACCCTCCGCTGCCCCTGCTCACCTCCCCTTGTTTTTCTCAAAGAAGAAGCAACAAATAATTAGGCTTGGTAAACTCTGAATCAAACTCATCCTGAGACCATGACATAGAAGTCCCAAAGAATTTGGAAAGCTTTCATTTTCTTTTCACACCCGTTTTTTTGTTGATCCCCCCTCAGGAACGGAACTCACTGGGAGGCCATCTTCTGTGTTTCTAGGGGTCCTGGGACATGGGCAACAAAGTGTGGGAAGAGATGGCCCAGGTAATACACCCTCTCTCAGCTTCATTCTTTAAGATGAACTGGGTTTTTGAGTAGTAATGCTTCAGACTTTTTATCAAAAAACTCCATCCTTGGGGCAGGAGCGATAGGACAGCAGGTAGGGCATTTGCCTTACATGTGGCTGACATAGGTTCAATCCCCGGCATCCCATATGGTTCCCAGAGTACCACCAGGAGTCATTCTTGAGTGTAGAGCCAGGAGTAACACCTGAACATCGCCAGGTGTGATCAAAACACACTCAGACACACACACAAATTGCATCCTCTTGAAAATACAAATTACGTTTAAGAAGAGATTTTGTGTGACCAACTTCATTCTTGCAAGGAAAATTTTCTTCACTACAAGAAAAAGTTTTCCCACGGCCAGAAGCTAACGCTCTTTAATTAGAGTTACTAGGCATTTCATATTCTTGGGGCCAGAGCAGTAGTACAAGTAGCTAGGGGTCTTGTCTGGTTCTGCTGACCTGAGTTTGATCACTGGCACACTGTATGATCCCCGGAGGCTGCCAGGGGTGATCCCCAAGTACAGAGCCAGGAGTAAGCCGTGAGTGCCGCCAGACGTGACCCAGCCTCCCGCCTGCCATCCCCACCCCAAGTTCTAACATGCTTTTAAAACCGAGGCAGTGAATTGCCTACATTTTTGTTCTCAAACCTGCCTGATTTAGATAGGGAGGATTTATTTAGTCATTTGGGAAAATCTCTGGAGTCTCCCGGATTATCATTTGGCATTTGCTTTCTGAGTTTCAGAAATCAGCAAATGCAGACTTAAAGCAGACGCCACTCCTTTAAATTGTTTTCTCTCGGCCCACAACTCCTGGATCTGTGTGATACTCCAGCCTCTCTGCCCCATGCCCCCCTCTTGGACATAGTATGTCAGAGTATGGTGGGTGCAGCCGGAAGAGCCCTACTCCAGACTCACCACACCTCAGAGCCCAGCATTCTTGCTGAGAACCGCCTGATCCTGCTGGAAACCCACTGTGCCCTCCTGGACCCCTCTTTGTGGAGGAGGGCTTGAGTGGCCTCTCCCGGGGAGTTAGAGGGAAGCACCTTCCATCAGGCACCAGGCAAAAGCCGCAGCACGGCCGGGTGCCCCTGTTCTGCAAACCTGGTGTTGGCAGACTCTGAGGCCCTGGTGCATAGGGGCACTCTCCCCCTTCCCCCCCAGGGACTCTGTAAGCAAGAGGCCACACAGGAAGCCGCGCCTGGAGAGAGATGGCCTCTAAAGCGGCCAGCTCACAAGCAGAGGAGCCACAGTGTTGACCAGAAAGTTCCCCGTGGTGGCCACGGTCTCAGCGGTGCATGATTCAGTCTGGTGTGACGTCTGTGGCCACAAGCCTCTTTCCAGAACAGGAGAAGCCGTTTCTAACTCAAAGCGACCCTCCAGAGAACTTTTGGCAGGTCTTGCAGGCAACATTGGAACACACCTAGGAAACGCTGCCAGCTAGTGATGGGAAGGGGGCTAATGACATTTGTAATTAATCCCTCTCACGGCTCCTTATTGATTACAGTACTGTTCGATTTGACTGATTCTCTCAGTGGAACAGTAGCTCATGTGCATATATCAAAGTGTTTGGGTTTTGTTTTTTCCAGCTATGAATTCTTTATGGTAGAGATTTATTTACCAAATGTGAGTTCTTTTGAGGAAGTTTGAGGTTTTGTAGACACGGACTGTGAAATGTCAGAGAAAAATAAAGAATCACTTACTTGACGACAGTTGGGCTTTCATGCTTTGTCACTTTTGGCATTTCAAACCCGTGTCCTGGGGTTGTTGGGCAAGTGGGCATAGACATCTGCCTCGTCCCAGCTGACCGGAAGTCTGTTGCTTGGATTTACCGGAAAAATGGTGACCTGAGAGCAGATGGTGGGTCAGTGTTCCCAGAACCATAAGGTTTGTGCTGGGGAGCCGGGGAGGGGTGAGGGGTTGGGGTCTCGTGAGTGTTTCCCGCTCAGCTACTGGCCCAGGCGGCTTGGTCCCAGCACCAGCTACCACCGGACTCGGTTCTTCCTTCCACTGCCCCTTCACCCGGCCTCTCTCCTCTCTCGGGTCTTGGTCCTTTGTGCTCAGCCCTTCCTTGTCAGAGTTCTCCTAGTGCCTGTCAGTGGGGACATGTGGTCCCCTCCCTAGGTCCCCTCCTGAGTTCTGAGACCCTGGGACCTTTCCTCAAAGTCGAGAGGCTTTCTGACATCCAATGCTTTGGGAGTGTTCCCGCCCCACCCCGTTTCCAAGAACACTTCTCAGCGACCAGCTCTGAGCCCATGGAACTGCCACCAGCAGCCAGAGAGGCGGGGACAGAGAACGACTGTCCTGAAGCAGAGCCCCCACTTCCAAGAGGCGGGACCAGAGATGCCCCCGGGTGTACTGAGTGGCCACCCCAAAGCTAAGGGGAGCTGGGGTGTGAGTGGTGGTCCCCAGGCTCCACGTACCTCCTGCCTGTGGACACCTTGCTACCTTGCTACCTTGGACACTTGGTCAGTCAGATCTGAGAACTGCCGATCCCTGTGTGCCTGGCGGCAAACTGGCTCCCCCAGCCTAGCGGGAACCCAGCTCCCACCTTGACTGTGCTCCAGGTGGGCCACGAGACTAGGGCTTGATGTTCACGGGGCCCCAAAAGGCTCACGAAGTAGATTCCTAATGCTCTGGCTTCATTTTCAGTGTCCTATCAGAGTTTGTTCGATGTGGGGCCACACGCCGCCATGCTGGGAACTCTTCCTGGCTCGGTGCTGAGTCCAGCCACGCCGAGAGCCAACCTTTGGGTGTCCTGCGTGAAAGCCTGCACGCGGGGCCCCTGAGCCCCTCCTCTGGCCTGGGGAGGACGCGCGGGCCTGTCTGCGTTGACTTGGCGTTTCTCCTGAGAGCCTGCTGGCAGCTGCCCAGGGCTCCGCACACCCTTGCACCCACAAAGACTTCCTGGCCCCCACAGGGGAAGTTTGTCGCTGAAGCCCGGTCAGCTTTTCCCAGCCCGCAGACAGTCGCTTCCTCTCCTCCGACATGAAGGAGGAAGTTGCCCTTGGATGTTGGTGAGCGTTGTCTGTCTGCCCACTTGGATTTTCTTCCCATTTTTTGCTCCCACAACCTGCCAAGACGGCTGTGTCTGCCCTTGTGAGGGCCTCCGGGGGTGGGCCTGGGAGGCTGTGGGGGCCACTTTGACTGCAGCCCCCTTGTGCCCACACTTGAGAGGTGCACCGTGCAGAGATGGGTCTAGCTGTCTCGGTATCACCTCAGCGTGTCTGCAGAGACCCTGGGCAGGCGCGGGAGGAGGAGGATGTCCCCAGGGTGCTGCTTGGGCACTTCTCTGGGATGGAACACCTGTCCCCGCCCCCTTAAAGGCGTCCATGTATGTGCGGGGTGTTGACTGGACTGTCCCACCAACACCCAGTTCAAGTGCGGGAGCGATAGTCCAGCCGGGAGGGCATTTGCCTTGCACATAGCCGGCCCGGGTTCAATCCCCAGCATCCCATATGGTCCCCCGAGCACCACCAGGAGTGATTCCTGAGTGCAGAGCCAAGAGTAAACCCTGAGCATCGCTGGATGTGACCCAAAAAGCCTAACTGAATAAATAAAAGCATAAAAAAAGAAGAAAAAAGACTGGCTTTCCGGGAGGAGCCCACATGGGGGCCTTTCCCTCCGGCTCCCCCTCCCTCCTCCGGACACGTGGCCCTCCGTGCTCTCTCTGAAGCATGGTTATGCAAGACGTTCATGCGTGTTGAAAGAACAGTCTGTGGGGTTCCTGCCTGAAATCACAGCAGCTGGAGGAGACGCGCTGGGAGCGGGGAGAGCCTGTGGAGCGCCGAGTTAATGCGGCGAGTGGGTGGAAGCTGTGGGGAGCAAGGCAGGGAAACGGCAAGCGGCGGCCCGCGTGAGGGAGGCGCAGGGAGCCAGGGCGGGTCTGCCTGAGCACGCCCGAGGTTGGCACAGGCAAGCGGGGGCCTTGGCAGAAGGATCCCGGGCTCTCCTGGATGTCTCTGAAAGAGAGGCGGTCACATAATGTCCCAATACCCCCGTCCCTTCACCCATGTGCATTTCCCACCACCAATGACCAGTGTCCCCAATTTCCCTCCTGCCACGTTTCCTTTGGCTCTCTGTCTCTCTCTGTCTCTTTCTGTCTCTGTCTCTCTGTCTCTGTCTCTCTCTCCTTCCGCGTCTCCTTTTAGGCATTACGATTTGCAGTACAAACACTGAAAGGTTATCATGGATATCCCTTTACCTGCTTGTCCAGAGTGATCATTTCCAACTATTATTGTCATAGTGGTCCCCTCTCATCCTGAACTACCCTTCATGCCACACTCCCCCTCCCCCCACGTGCGCATACATACACACACACACCACACACACACACACACACACGCACGCACGCACGCACGCACACACACTTGGGGCAAGCTTCCAACCATTGACATCCCCCTGACCTATGTATTCCCTAGCCTTGAATATCATACAATTTTTTTAAAAAAATTTATATCCCACAAGTGAATGCAGAGAGCCCAGTGCAGCCTTGGCCCTAGAGATGAATAAACCACCTCAAAGGCAGCGGAGGGCGAGAAGCGTGAAACAGTGCCTCCAAAAAGTGGGTCCTGAACAGGCCCTAGACCGGTTTATTTATTTATTTATTTATTTATTTATTTATTTTTAGTGTGGGGGCCACTCTCTGGGCTTATTTCTGGTTCCACACATTCAGGGGTCACTCCTGGCGGGCCTTGGGGGACAGATAGGGTGCCAAGGATCATACTCAGGTGGACCATGTGCAGGGCAAGTGCCCCCCTACTGTACGGTCTCTCTGGTCCTCTGCAGCGCAGTGACGCCTGTTTCCCAGGTCTGGGGGGACCCCTTGACCTGGTTCTGACTCCCCGCTCTGCCCTCCCACAGGCCTCTGGGCTTCCTGCTCTGGAAAGGCAAAGCACATACGGGCAGGCCCAGACCTGCGGCAGTGGTGACAGAGTGTAGGCTCAGACAGAACCCAGGGTGTCCCCAAGCGGTGCTGGCACTTGGAATAGCTTTGGAGGTGTCTCAGTCAGGAAAATAAAGCTTTCAGCCTTGAAGTATTTCCCAAGCCTCACAGACTGTAGGGCTGAGAAGCCAGAGTCCTATACAGATGAGTGAGCTTGGGCCAGGCCACTCACATCCACTTTTATAGAGATGCAATGAGTGTGTGTGTGTGTGTGTGTGTGTGTGTGTGTGTGTGTGTGTGTGTGTTTGGGGACCCTCACCCAGCAGTGCTAGGGGATCACTCCTGGTGCTGTTTGCGGGCCATGCCCAAGCAAGCACCTTAGTCTCTGAGCTGCCGCCCCGGCCCATCCCTTGTGCTCTTATTTCCAAGACGAGTGTGTCGACAACCTGCGGCTTCAGCCTCTTGGATGTGGGCACGAGTCTGAGTCAGCCGAGAAGTGGAGGCGGCACCGTGTGTGACTAAGCGGAGCTCACCCCTGCAGCCGAGCTCTTCAGGAGAGGCTTCTCGAGGGGGGCTGCCCTGCTCTTTGACTCGCCTCCAGACTTCTGAGCTCCTGTCAGTGGCCGCTTCCATGACTCCAAGTAAGGGCACCTCAAGTGTGCGACCACAAAGCCCCTCGTTAACCTCCCCCCGGGCCCAGCCCTGCCATGCGCAATGCTCCTGGACCCTAGGGCTACTGCCTGACACCAATGCCCACCACACACACACACACACACACACACACACACACACACACACACACCCCGGGGAAAGGAGCTCCCAGGAGTGGTGGTGGCCTGGGGGCACCAGGCCAACACCAGGTCAGGGCTGTGGGAGTTCTCCAAGGCCAAAAACTCCGGGAGACGAGCCTGGAGCCTTGTTGGAGGGTTACATTGAGATAAACCGGGCGAGGGCCCCGGAGAGGGAGCCTGGGCAAAGAGCCAGCAGGAAGCAGCTTTGCATTGGGTTGGTGCCTGTCTTTGAAACTGGAGAGTGATAGGCCTTGTGTACAAGGTCAGTGGATACTCTAAAAGATGGTTTGGGTGCCAGAGAGAGAGTCCAGCGGGAAGGGCACTCGCCTTGCATGCAGCTGACCCAGGAGGGATCCCGGGCATCCCATATGATCCCCCGAGCACCACCAGGAGAAATTCCTGAGTGCAGAGTCAGGAGTAACCCCTGAGCCTTGGCAGGTGTGGTCCCAAAACAAACATCAAGGACAGTTTTGCCATAATTGTGCTATGGCCTGTCCCATGGGCCCTCGCCAGGGCTGCTGGGTCACCAGGAGAAGGGAGACTCACTGGGGTGAGCCCCGTGCCAGGAGTGGCCCGGGGTCCAAGGCCAGTGCTCCCTTACTCTCAGGCAGGGAGCTGCCTTAGCTCATGGCCCGCCCGGCACAGCCGGAAGCACACTCCTGCCCAGCCCGGGCCTCACCCGCTGGGGTGTGGAGTTTTGAGGGATCAGCATTGTCAGTCCCACCCTCCAGGGCCTCTGGTTTCTGGGACAATCCTCCACACCCAGACAGGTGAGCTTCCCCCTTGCTCCAGGTGCTGCATTGGAGAAGCCTCTCCTGAGTTCCCCACCCCCGTCCCCCCATCCTCGATGCTCCCCACCCCCCAGGTGACCTCCTCCTGTCAGGCTCTGGGGAGAGGCTCCCTCCACCTCATCAGTGATGTTTTGTTGATGTTTGTCGGGGCCACACCCAGCTGTGCTCAGGGCTCTCGACTTCTGGCTCTGTGCTCAGGGTTCACTCCTGGTGGGACTCTGGGGGCCAGGCCGGGTGCTGGGGAT